AGAGATTTGTTTGGTGCTCGGTTTAGGGCTGTCTCCAGTTGTGCAGCTGGAGGGATTTGGTCTAGGATATGTGCCCTAAGAGTTGAGTAGTCAGGGGCCGGCCGAGTGGCGCGTTGGTTAAGAGCTGGCTTGGGACGCCAGAGGGCCCTGGTTCGGATCCCACATATGAGGGCCAGTGACACTGCCCTCCACAGCTAAGATGCTGAACAACAGCTCAACCTGGAGCTGGGCTGCCTTGAGTCGCTGGCGACGGTGTAGGCTGCAGCCCCTCTGGCAGTGGGTTGCCATGGGCTACCGTGTGTAGCCAGCAAGTAAGCGGCCAGCAGCCGCCGTGAGCGGCTGTCCAGAAGCCGGCGACTGATCTGCCTCACCCGGGAAGAGCGCAATGATGGTGCCAACTTGGGCCAGTGAAGCAACGTCCTCCACAACTAGACTGAAGAACAAAACGACAGCAACTTGTCTCTTCCCCTTCCCCCGATTCCCCAGCGCTGTTCCCACCCCCCAATTCCCCAATAACAATCTTTAAAAAAGAAAAAAAGAGTTGAGTAGTCAGGAGAAGCTGGGCCAGGAGAGCCTTTTCTTGGAAAACAGCATGAAGATTCAGTCAACACTGATCCCTGAAGTTTAGGACTTCTTCAAGTTTATGGAGTCATTATTTTGGGAAAAAAAATTAGTTGTGCTGGTTTTAATAAACTATGTTTCCTAAAAATGTAAATAGTCATTATAAATAAAAGTCAAATAATATAAATGTTAATGCATTTAACAAATATTTATTATGCACCGGCCACATGCCAGGCACTGTTCAAAGCACTGTGGATACAAGTGACTTAAAACAACCCCTGTCTGCATAGAGCCTACCTGTTAATGGAGAGAGTAGCCAAAAAATGAAAAAATATGGGATCTGTCAAGTGGTGATAAGTGCTAGGAGGAAACACACAAAAAAACACAGTATAAATCCCTCAGTACCCCATCACCAGAGATAACCATTGTTAACATTTTGTCCGACATCTTTCCAGGCATCTTTCTTCGCCTCTATATAAATATAGATAGAATTTAATATCAGTAGGCATTTTCACATGCTGAGTCATAACCTGTCTTTTTCCAGTAATATTTTCTGACATATTTTCATGTTAATAAATAAAAATTGACTTCAATTTTTTTCCCAGCTTTAACTTTTTTTTAATTTGGAAAATTTCAAACATATAGAAAAGTAGAGAGAATGGTATAGTGAACACATTTACTTATCTCGCACGTTTAACAGTTGTTAACATTTTGCCATATTTACCTCATCTATTGGGGGGCAGCGGTGGTGAGGCTTATGTCTATTAAACTAAATTACAGACTTCACGAACATCTTACCTGTTCTGTTTCTACCCCAAGCGGGTGAACTGCAATTCAATGCTGACAGTATCTACCTGAAGTTAGTATCAGACTCCACAATTTCCCCCCAAAATTCATGTCTACCACTTGTCTGTTCCCCTTCCCCCAATTCCCCAGCGCTGTTCCCATCCCAATTCCCCAATAAAAATCTTAAAAATATATATATATAGTCAATAATATTGTAATAACTATATATAGTGTCAAATGGGCACTAGATTTATCGGGGTGATAAATGGGAGGGAGGTTGGGAGACAAGGTGAAAAAGGTGAAGGGATTAAGAAGTACAAATTGGTAATTATAAAATAGTCATGGGGATGTAAAGTAAAGCATAAGGAACATACTCGTAGTCAATAATATGGTAATAATATGGTAATAGCGATGTGCAGTGGCAGGTTGAGTAGTAGACTAGTCAGGGGGATCACTTCTTAAATTATACAAATGTCTAACCACTATGCTGTACACCTGAAATATAAAGTGATATTAAATGTAACTAATTAAAAAATTAAAAAGGGAGGGAAAGGTGAAGGAAAATAAGAGGTTCAAATTTCCAGATATAAAACAAATGTCATGGTGATGTAATGTACAGCATAGGGAATATAGTCAATAATATTATGGTACTGTGGTATCGTGTCAGATGGTTGCTGGACTTATCATGGTGATCACTTCTTTAGGTCCACAAATGTTGAACAACTATGGTGTACACCTGAAACTGATATAATGTTGTATGTTAGCTATATTTTTTGCAGGTTTTATTCTTTTTTTTTTTTTTAGCTGAGCCATCCTGCTACCTGTTGGCAGCTCAGCGGCTGCTCAGCTCGGGCTGGACTCGAACCGCTGTTGCTCAGAGCTCAAACTCTTGAGCGAGCTCTTAACCAACTGAGCCACTCGGCCGGCCCTATATTTTTTAAATAAAAATCTTAAAAAAACTTTTTTGATGGTAGGTGACAGAAATTCAATTTGAATGTTAGGGGGAAAAAAGGAAGGTTTTAAACAACGCAAACAAGAAAGGAATAGGTATTGGGGGAATACCATTGGCCACCCAGTTACCTTTGCAACTTCTCCCTAAAGTGCAGGGGCTCACCTCACCTTGGGGTTTGAAGGATGGAGAAGCAAGGATCAGGGGATGAGAGAAGACAAATAAGGAGGATTGTGCGGGGCCTACAATCTACACTTAGTGTAACCTGAAGTCACAAGCACCATCTCATGGCAGATCTAAGCTTATATGGAAGTTCCCATGGCAGCACCATATAAAACTGGAGAGGACCTTGTTTATTGAGGTATAATATGCATATTCAACCTTCGAGTAAGCTCACCACTAGTGAGTAAAAAAAATACTAACTCTGTCTTTCCTTCTTTCCCTCAGAAAATCATCTCCTTGCTTAAAGCAAATGTATTTCATTTTCCTGAGGGTGTGGGGGCCCTTTTTGTTGGGAGTGGAATTGAGCACATCCAACTTTACATCAGAGTTCAGTGTTCCTAGTGTGGCCACTGTACCTAAGGATTAAGAGTTATAGAGGTTTTGGTATTTCAAATATTTTATTTCAAATTTATTATTCTAACAATATTTGATGCTGCTTCCAGATGAGTAACATGTTCAAGATAAATAAGTGCATTCACTAAACCATTTGCTCTACTTTTCTGTTCTGTCCACAGCACATTCTTCTAGTTCTCCACTTTCCCCTCTGGCTACTTCGTCCTAGCTCTACTTCCTCTGCCAGTCCTTTAAATAGTGTTTACCTGTAGAGACCTGCCTTGGTTCCTTTTCTGCCTGGATCATCTCAACTCTCTCCTTGTCCTCACCCACCACCGATGACTCTCAAACCTGTTTTTTCAATCTTTTCCCTGGCTTCATTCTCACACTTGCTATACTGTCTGCTGACCTTGGCTGTCTCAAAAGTGCCTCAATACTCAACATACCTAAGATTCAACTGACTGGCTTAGCCCCTGCACCCCTCTCCACTTCCATAAAAGCTGTTTCTCCTTCCAGCTTCTGTTTCCTCTCCTCATACCCTATAGCCAAAACAATCACTACATTAAAAATCTTCTGAAATTAATCTTAGATATCTCTATCTCCATCTGCCAACAGTTCACTCTTGGCTACCTTCACTCCTCACCAGGATTATTACAACAGTTTCTTACTTCTGCTCTTGTCACCTGTCCCCTGCTCAAATCATTTTGTGTTGCAGCTAGAATGATTTTTCTAAGACTAAAGAGCTAAGAGAAAAATCACTTAAAACATTTACTAGGCACCCACTATATATTAGACAATGACTTGAGGGCACAAAGATAAGTGAGACACTGTTTTTGTTGTTGTTATTTTTCTTTTTTGTAACTGTTGGCCAAATATCTATGTGGTATTTTAAAAATTCCTAATCATAGAACTTTTTAAAATTATGGCTTTATTGAAATGTAATTCACACACATGAAGTTACATTCCTGTTTTCTTCCAAGAGTTTTTAGTATATTCACAAAGTTGTGCAACCACCACCACTATCTAATTCTAGAACATTTCATCTCTCTTTTCTAGCAACAACTAATTTACATTTTGTCTGTAGAGATTTGCCTTTTCTGAACGTTTCATATAAATGGAATCATACGGTATGTGGCCTTTTTTGTCTGGCTGCTTTCACTTTGCATATTTTCAAGGCTTATCCACATTGTAGCATGTATCAGTACTTCATTCCTTTAATACTTAATACTCCATTGTATGGATATACCACACTTTGTTTATCCATTCATCAGTTGATGGACTTGGGGTTGTTTCCACTTTTTGGCTATTATGAATAATGCTGTATAAACATTCATACAAATGCACTTGTTTTCATTTCTCATGGTATTTACCTAGGAATGGAACTGCTGGGTCATTCGGTAACTCTATGTTTAAACTTCAGAGGAATAATTGCCAGGCTGTTTTCTAAAGTGACTGCACCAATTTGCAATCCTACTAGCAGTGTGTGAGGGCTCCAATTTTTCCATATCCCTGTCACCATTTATTGTCTATCTTACAATATTTTAGCCATTCTAGCGAGTGTGAAGTGGTATCTCATTATGACTTTGGTTTGTATTTCCCTGATGACTAATGATGTTGGCATCTTTTCATGTGCATTTGTATATGTTCTTTGGAGAAATAGCTACCCAAATTCTTTGCCCACTAAACAAATTGTTGAATTATAAGAGTTCTTTATATATTCTGGATACTAATCCCTTATCAGACATATGACTTGCAAATATTTTCTCTCGTTTTGTGAGTGGTCATTTCACTTTTGTAAGTGTCCTTTGACACACAAAAGTTTTTAGTTTTGAAGTTCATTTTATCTATTGGTGTGTTTTTTGTGCCGTTATCTAAGAAAACCATTGCCTAATTCAAGGTCATGAAGATATGTTCCTGTTTTCTTCTAAGAATCTCTTACATTTAGGTTCGAGGATATTTATTTATTTAGTATATGGTACAGGGTAGGTCCAACATCATTCTTTTTGTGTGTGTGTGTGTGGATATTCATAGAACTTGTTAACTGTATTCAATTGCTTGTCTTTCTTTGCAATTAGACTGTAAACGCCACAAGGACAGAGACCAAGGCAGTCTTACTAAATCTTTTTTAATGAATGGATGAATTAGGTAGCCAAAATATCAAGTTTCATTTCTTTTCTGAAATTATATCAACTCTATGCAATAACACTGTTTTCATTGTGATGTTGGCAGTGAAAATCCCTTGAGAACAATTTAGAAACAAACTAAATCACAGGATAATAGGGATTGTACCTATTTCACAGGCTTTGGAGTGAAACTGATTTGGATTCAAATGCTGACTTTCATTTAAGAACTGTGTACTACATTACCTACTTCTTATTCCGTAAAATAAGGATTTAGTTGGTTTAGTTGTTAAAAATATTGAGATCTTGTGACTACAGTGCTTTACACATTGTAAGCATTCATTAAATAGCATTTCTTATTGCATTAATGTTGGGAAATCCGTTAACATACCTTTCGTCGTCGTACAGATTTCAGGATTTGTTTTCTTTTGTGAATTGAGAACTGTTAGACCACTGATGTTTTTGATTCAGAAAAGCATACACAAAAACACAATTCAATGTGGCAATGACCCTAAAGATGCATGCAGACTCTGGAATTCAGTGTCGTAACAGAAACACCCTTTTGAGCGTAAGAACTTAGTGGAAATAGGGGCTGAACAGGGGCTCTAGGCATTTTGAATTTATTTCAGTGTGGCACATATTTCAGGTTTGTACAACAGTTATTTGATTACGTGTCTGTCTTCTGCACTAGAGTCAGCATAGAAATCCTGTCATCGGTCATCTTTGGATTTCCAGTACAGTGGGCACTCCACGTATGGTTGAATTGACGCGTTTTGGCCACGGGGGTCAGAAATGATTCTCTGAAGAGGGATGGAGAAGTTGGAAGGCGGAAGGAAGACCTGGGATCCATGGCCAAGGAGAGGAGGGCAGCGCAGGTATGGGACACACGAGGGTCCTAAAACTCCAGTCGGACGCTAGGAACCGAGTGAACCACATGCGATCACTTCTTCCCGGCTCCCGGCCTCGCAGGGCCACTTCCGGGAGAGGGAGGAGAGACAAGAGGAGGCGTGCCGGGGAGGAGGCCTTTTGCACTGCACCAGGCGGAAGTGTGCCAAAGGTATCGGTGCGGCCGCTTCCGGTCCGGTTACGCGGTTTCGATATACTGCGTGGTTTGTCGTGCCGGGATAGACTTCTGAGGTCAAGTCAGCGGGTGAAGAAGTGGTCATCCGAGTCTCTACTCAGAAATCTAGAGTCTAGTGCGAGGATCTGAAAAAAGGCCAGGAACCTGAATACGCTCTAACCTCTGTTTCCGAGGGGGCAACTTCCACGGGGAACCCCTCTGCCCTGGTAACGGCCAAAGAGGAGATGGCGCCAGTCCGGGAGCGCTTGTGGTCGACACAGTAAGGAAGCGCGAAGACGGAGCAACCCGAGAAGCCTCGGGAGAAGAATCAGAGCCGTCGCTGCCGCCACCACCGCCGCCACCATGGAAGGGGCAAAGCCGACATTACAGCTCGTGTACCAGGCAGTACAGGCGCTTTACCACGACCCAGATCCCAGCGGAAAGGAGCGCGCCTCGTTTTGGCTTGGGGAGCTGCAGCGTTCGGTGAGGGGCCCAGAGAGGCCGTTCAGCCCTAAAGGGCAAGGCTGGGGTGGGAACTAGGCTCGAACCTGAGCTGGAGCCCGAGCCCAAGCCCGGCGGTTGGCCTCGTGAGGTCCTCCTTGGGGAGGAGCTATTGCTGTGGGGTGGGGCTGGAAGCTACATCTACGCGGCTTTTCGGAAACTAGTCGCAGCTGGTCGGTCGCGAACTGGCCCTTTCCCCACCCCGTAGAATCTGATTTGTATGCCCTGTACTTTCCTGTGGCTTCGTTGTGGTCCTCATAAGTTTTACCCTTGCTGCTTGCTTCTTAGGCCCAGCTTTTCCGTTTTGTCTTCCTTCAACAGAATCCAACCCTAGTGTTGCTTCGTCTTCCACTTAAGGATGATTTATCCCTCTCCCCTCGGTGTCCCAAGTGTTGCGTTCAGCAATTCCTTCCCAGTCATAGCCTTAACCTCACTGTTCCCTGCTGATTTTTTACTCTAGCTTGAGTTCATTATTCTCGCAACTTCTCAGGTTTCTAAATTCTTATACACGTGAATTTCCCCCCGTGTTTTGGAGTGTAACGTAATGTAAAGGACAAAATATCAATTTTGGTTTCAGAAAAATCTTTGCAGTTCTCATTTTGCTATATATTGGTTCTCAAACCTGGTCTTTTCTGTTCATAAGATATCATAGCTGCCTTGATTATTCCATGTAACTGTGAGGATCCAGTGAGGAGTTTAATTGCAACCTATTGTACCTATTGTATTTATGCATTCTTTGATTCGCATCTTATGCTTTCTTCTCTAGTTTTCATACTCATACTTTGCTGTGCATTTTGTTTTTGTGTGTGAACTTGATCTTGCTGACTTTATCTTTCTTATTTTTGCATTTTATATTTCCACGCATTTAAAACAATTGCCCCTCCCCTTTCATTTCTTTTTAAAAACTAAATAACTGGTATTTCAAGGTGCTCTGCCCTTTAAAATCAGCTCCTAGGCTGCAAGTGCATAATATTTAAAATTTCGCCACCTTGACTTAGTGTTTGGTTTTTGTAATCTAAAGAGAGTGACAAGTTAGTGACGAGTCCCTGATCTACATATAGTCTTCAAAGTATAAATAGGAGAAATGCTACACCATACCAAAAGTCACCTCTTCCCTACTAAACCTGCTTATTGTTATGTGTATTTTAAACCAGTATTTGAGTGCTTACCATGTACCAGCAACTGTGCTAGGCGTTGGTATGTGGAAATGAATCAGATAAAATCTGCTTATCACATAGGATGTTTGTGATGATTAAATGAGTTAATACCTACAAAGAGCTTAGAAAAGATCTTGGAACCTAGAGCCAGAAGGGATAGGAGAGGGCGTGGTTACTCGAACTCTCAAGAAAAGTATGGCGTTGGCTACCTTGAAAGGAGTGGTAGTTTTTGGTTGAAGGGACACAGCCAGCATGAGGTGACTGTAGGGAGGAAGCTGGAGGAATAAATATCTTGACCATATTCTCCTAACCTCCTCCTGGGAGTCCCTATTGGGCAAACCCAACTGGCAGCTAGGGAATATGGGAACCTGTTGATAGAGTCCATGTAGGTCAGCATACTGGAGCAGAAAACATGGTAGAGAGGGTGGAAAAGCGGACCTGGAAAATACCTAACATAGCCACACATTATTTTTAGGCAACTTTAGCATCGTGATTGACATTTTAGATAAAACTTTGGCCACTTGATTCCTTTACCTCTTTTTCTCAGCCATTTGGTCATATAGTCACATCTTGAATTTTGTCATTATTAAAAAGTCACCAGCCCCCCAAATCACTAACTCAATCACCTTGACACACTGTCACACCCTGGATGTTTGTTTTTTTTTTTAAAGATTTTTATTGGGGAATTGGGGGAGGGAAACAGTGTTGGGGAATTGGGGAAGGAGAACGGACAAGCTGCTGTCCTTTTTGTCTTTGGTCTAGTTATGGAGGACGTCGCTTCACTGGCCCATGTTGGTTTTATCATTGTGCTCTTCCCGGGTCAGGCAGTCGCTCGCTGCCCATTGGACGGCAGCTCATGAAGGTGCACAAAAGCGCACGCCAGCTGCCAGCCAGCCCCACTGCAGCCTATGCCATCGCTGGCGACTCAGGGCAGCCCAGCTCCGGGTTGAGCTGTTGCTCACCATCTTAGCTGTTGAGGGCGCAGCATCACTGGCCCATGTGGAATCTGAACCGGGGCCCTGCTGCTCAGAGCTGGCGTCCCAAGCCAACTCTTAACCAACGCGCCACTCGGCCGGCCCCCTGAATCTTGTCATTTTAAAAAAGTCACCCGCACCCCAAACCATTAACTCACACATTCTGCTACGATCGCAACCCACTCTTTTTCCAGTTTGCTGGCTCAAGTATCTCAAGTAACCTCATGTAATAGTTTTTATTTTTTGAAGTCTTAAATAATTTTAATTATCAAAATTTAAAAGTTTTCATTTTTAAACTTAAAAACATTTAAAAATAAACTTTAAATACTTTTTTTAAAGTTATAAAATGGAAATTTTACAAGAAAAAGACGTAGGATGAAAAGGAGCAGTTATATATAGACTTCCTATGAAAGATGAGAATTTAGGCTCCTTTCACTTTCTCTCATCCCATCCCTCTAACAATTATATCGCATTTTTGGTTAAATCAGTACACATAGTATGCATAGCATGTATACTATGGTAATATTTCCTTTATGCGCAACTTTTTTTTCTGATGGTAAACAGCTTTTTTTCCACATTTGCTTCATTTTCTATATATCTGTAGTAATTCATCCCAAACTTTCTGTCAGTTAAGTGTGAATACCCTCTTAGTATGATCAAACTGGCAATCTCTTTCTTTTTTTTGGTGAAATAAAACCTTTTCTGAGAGCCCTCCACCCCCTTGCTCAAATCTGGCCTGGTTGTTCTCCAGGTCTGTTGCATAATTATCATGGGATCTCCATTTAACACTATCCTAGGGAATTCCCTTCACCTCGTTCTTGTATTGGATGTGCTGAATCCTGGATCCCATGGTCTTTTCTTGGTGTACTCCCTCATTGTCTTTCTGTGAGTCTTTTTTTCTTGGACTGCTTTTACCCTGAGAGAAGTCCTTTAGTCTGCCAGTGTATTATAAACTAGGCTGCCTGTTGGGGAATGAGTCAGGGAATGGATCTCACCACTAAGTATGTTGGCTTTATTTTAACCTCCCATTTTCAGTATGATAGTCCTGTCCTTAGAAGAGTCCACAGTGCTTCTGCTTTAGTCTTCCCAAAGAAAACCTTGAGTCTTCTGTGATGGTGGGAGGATAGTAGCCTGGCCACTCAGAAACAGGGAGAAAATCTAGGAGTCTAGCTGCTTATACAGATTTTGAACCCACGCCTTTGTTTTCTGTTCCCCCTGTGTGTCTGTACCCCCTGTACCTGGTACTCCTAATTTCTGAGCCCAACTGGAATTTTACAAATGGATCGGTTGGCCCCTGGGTGGCATTCTTATCCCATCCTCCCTTCCTACCCCCTAGGCTTATTTCAGCTTTCTCAACACTTGCTTAAAACAGTTAACACTCATCCATTAGCTTTCTGGTTTCCACAGTTGTGTTAATATCAGTCCTGTTTCCATTCTCTTTGTTCTTGTGGGTTCCCCACCTCAGCATTTTTTTTTTTAATCTCTTTTACTCTTATTTTAGTGAATTTTTGGAAGGGACCTAAGGGCAAACAGGTTCAGTCTTGTTAAACAGAAGCCCTTGCATTCATTTTTGAATTTCATCAAAACCTTTTTCCATGGACTGGCCCCTACTTTTTCTGTTAGGTCTTGTCTTTACTGCTCTTTATCCATTTTGGATTTCAGGGTGTATCATTCTAGTCACTTTCTTAAATATACCATCAACCCTTCACCCTGATTTGGTAAAACTTCAGCATGGGTATATCCAAGTCATTCTCCATTCTTTGTGAACTAGGTGCTCTGCATCTCATTTTCTGAATTCTCAGGAACCTTGATCTTTTCATTATCCTGTGTCACACTTGCATCTTCAGACTCCCTCTTTATTGGGTCTTTCCCACCTGCATTCAAATAGCTGTAGTATCTCCCATAGGAAGCAAATGGTTTTGGGGGGCAAAAGAGATGGGAATGTCACCTTTGTCCAATTTTGTGATTTCTTTGATTCTTTCTTACCTGTGCTTTTACTATTACTCTTTCCTAATGCTTTCTTGAAATGAAGAAACTAACCCATCTTTTCAAAACCCAACCTAAATTCCACTTTCTCCTTGAAGTCTTAACTGATTCTTTTCCATTGGAAGTCATTTCTGCCCCCACTGAACACCTAGAGGGCTTTATTTAATTCCATTTATTTATTTATTAATTTTTACTTTTTCAGAAATTTGTTTTGTCTCTCCTACTAGACTGTAGGATCCTTTTATTTGTTGACGTGATCTGATACCCACAGTTGAAGGAATAAACTATGGTTGTCGAGAAAGAAACGATCAAGATGCCTGACACACAGGTTCTTAAAAATGGTTGTTGAATGCCTAGCGGCTTGTAGGCACTTCCAAAGGACAGTTGGGTAACTCCAGTTTGCCTTTATGACTTTCGTTTATTTTTATTTATTTATTTAAGATTTTATTGGGGAATTGGGGAAGGGGAACAGCCAAGTTGTTGTCCTTCAATCTTAATTGTGGAGGGCGCAGCTATCTCAGCTCCAAGTCCAGTTGCCATCTGGCCGCCCATCGGCAGCATGCGGCCGCTTAGCTCAAGGTGCCGTGTTCAATATTAGTTGCAGGTGGGCGTAGCCCCCTATCCCATGCGGGAGTCTTAACTGGCAACCTTGTTGTTAGGAGCACGTGCTCTCACCAGCTGAGCCATCCTGCCACCTGTTGGCAGCTCAGCTCGGGTGCAGCTCACTGGCCCATGTGGGAATCGAACCAGCGACCCTGTTTCTTAGAGCTCACGCTCTTAACCAACTGAGCCACTCCGCTGGCCAGAATTTCATTTATTTTTGATGCTACTCTCTACCATATCTATGAGTAATTGAAAATAAACA